GTGCAGCACCGTGTGTTGTGTCACAGTACTTGAGTGCAGCACCGTGTGTTGTGCCTCAGTACCAGTGCAGCACCGTGTGTTGTGTCACAGTACTTGGTGCAGCACCGTGTGTTGTGCCTCAGTACTTAGTGCAGCACTGTGTGTTGTGTCCTGTGCAATTGCAGCACCGTGTGTTGTGCCTCAGTACTTGGTGCAGCACTGTGTGTTGTGTCCACAGTACTTAGTGCAGCACCTGTGTTGTGCCTCAGTACTCGGTGCAGCACCGTGTGTTGTGTCACAGTACTTATTGCAGCACCGTGTGTTGTGCCTCAGTACTTGGTGCAGCACCGTGTGTTGTGTCACAGTACTTGGTGCACACCGTGTGTTGTGCCTCAGTACTGGTGCAGCACCGTGTGTTGTGCCTCAGTACTAGTGCAGCACCGTGTGTTGTGTCACAGTACTTGTGCAGCACCGTGTGTTGTGCCTCAGTATAGTGCAACCGCGTGTTGTGCCTCAGTACTTGGTGCAGCACTGTGTGTTGTGTCACATTACTTGGTGCAGCACTGTGTGTTGTGCCTCAGTACTTGGTGCACCATGTGTTGTGCCTCAGTATAGTGCAGCACCGTGTGTTGTGCCTCAGTACTTAGTGCAGCACCGTGTGTTGTGTCACAGTACTGGTGCAGCACTGTGTGTTGTGCTCAGTACTTAGTGCAGCACCGTGTGTTGTGCCTCAGTACTTGGTGCAGCACCGTGTGTGTTGTGCCTCAGTGCCGTTTGCTAGTGCAGCACCGTGTGTTGTGTCACGTACTGGTGCAGCACCGTGTGTTGTGCCTCAGTACTTAGTGCAGCACCGTGTGTTGTGCCTCAGTACTTAGTGCAGCACCGTGTGTTGTGTCACAGTACTTGGTGCAGCACCGTGTGTTGTGCTTCAGTACTTAGTGCAGCACTGTGTGTTGTGTCACAGTACTTAGTGCAGCACCGTGTGTTGTCACAGTACTTGGTGCAGCACCGTGTGTTGTGCCTCAGTACTAGTGCAGCACTGTGTGTTGTGTCACAGTACGGTGCAGCACTGTGTGTTGCTCAGATTTACCCCGTGTGTTGTGCCTCAGTACTTGGTGCAGCACCGTGTGTTGTGCCTCAGTATAGTGCAGCACCGTGTGTTGTGCCTCAGTACTGGTGCAGCACCGTGTGTTGTGCCTCAGTATGGTGCAGCACCGTGTGTTGTGCCTCAGTACTTAGTGCAGCACCGTGTGTTGTGCCTCAGTATGATGCAGCACTGTGTGTTGTGCCTCAATTGCAGTGCAGCACCGTGTGTTGTGTCACAGTACTTGGTGCAGCACCGTGTGTTGGCTCTCAGTACTTGGTGCAGCACCGTGTGTTGTGTCTCAGTACTTAGTGCAGCACCGTGTGTTGTGCCTCAGTATAGTGTGCAGCACCGTGTGTTGTGCCTCAGTACTTAGTGCAGCACCGTGTGTTGTGCCTCAGTACTTGGTGCAGCATGTGTTGTGTCACAGTACTTGGTGCAGCACCGTGTGTTGTGTCAGTACTTAGTGCAGCACTGTGTGTTGTGCCTCAGTACTTGGTGCAGCACCGTGTGTTGTGCCTCAGTACTTAGTGCAGCACTGTGTGTTGTGTCACAGTACTTTGCAGCACCGTGTGTTGTGCCTCAGTACTTAGTGCAGCACGTGTGTTGTGTCACAGTACTTGGTGCAGCACCGTGTGTTGTGCCTCAGTACTTGGTGCGCAGCACCGTGTGTTGTGTCACAGTACTTGGTGCAGCACCGTGTGTTGTGCCTCAGTACTTGGTGCAGCACCGTGTGTTGTGCCTCAGTACTAGTGCAGCACCGTGTGTTGTGCCTCAGTACTTCAGTGCCACCGTGTGTTGTGTCACAGTACTTGGTGCAGCACCGTGTGTTGTGCCTCAGTACTTAGTGCAGCACTGTGTGTTGTGCCTCAGTGCATTGTAGCACTGTGTTGTGCCTCAGTACTTGGTGCAGCACCGTGTGTTGTGCCTCAGTACTTAGTGCAGCACCGTGTGTTGTGCCTCAGTACTTAGTGCAGCACTGTGTGTTGTGCCTCAGTACTTGGTGCAGCACCGTGTGTTGTGCCTCAGTACTAGTGCAGCACCGTGTGTTGTGCCTCAGTACTCAGTGCAGCTCTGTTGTGCCTCAGTATAGTGCAGCACTGTGTGTGTGCCTCAGTACTTAGTGCAGCACCGTGTGTTGTGTCACAGTACTTAGTGCAGCACCGTGTGTTGTGCCTCAGTACTTGGTGCAGCACCGTGTGTTGTGTCACAGTACTTGGTGCAGCACCGTGTGTTGTGCCTCAGTACTTGGTGCAGCACGTGTGTTGTCTCAGTACTTGGTGCAGCACCGTGTGTTGTGTCCTCAGTACTTGGTGCAGCACCGTGTGTTGTGTCTCAGTACTTGGTGCAGCACTGTGTGTTGTGCCTCAGTACTTGGTGCAGCACTGTGTGTTGTGTCACAGTACTTGGTGCAGCACCGTGTGTTGTGCCTCAGTACTTGTGCAGCACCGTGTGTTGTGCCTCAGTACTTGGTGCAGCACCGTGTTGTGCCTCAGTACTTTGTGCAGCACCGTGTGTTGTGCCTCAGCATTGGTGCAGCACCGTGTTGTGCCTCAGTACTTGGTGCAGCACGTTGTGCCTCAGTACTTGGTGCAGCACCGAGGTGCCTCAGTACTTGTGCAGCACTGTGTTGTGCCTCAGTACTTGGTGCAGCACCGTGTGTTGTGTCACAGCACTTGTGCAGCACCGTGTGTTGTGCTCAGTACTTGGTGCAGCACCGTGTGTTGTGTCACAGCACTTGGTGCAGCACCGTGTGTTGTGCCTCAGTACTTGGTGCAGCACTGTGTGTTGTGCCACAGTACTTGGTGCAGCACCGTGTGTTGTGCTCAGTACTTGGTGCAGCACTGTGTGTTGTGTCACAGCACTTCGTGCAGCACTGTGTTGTTCAGCACTTGGTGCAGCACGCGGTGTTGTGCTCGCTACTTGGTGCAGCACCGTGTGTTGTGCCTCAGTACTTGGTGCAGCACCGTGTTGTGCCTCAGTACTTGGGCAGCACCTGTGTTGTGCTCGCACTTGTGCAGCACTGTGTTGTGCCTCAGTACTTGCAGTGCAGCACTGTGTGTTGTGCACAGCATTCGCAGCACCGTTGTGTGCCTCAGCACTTGGTGCAGCACCGGGTTGTGTCACAGCACTTGGTGCAGCACCGCGGTTGTGCCTCAGTACTTGGCGCATGGCTTGCGCACAGACTTGGTGCAGCACTGTGTGTTGTGCCTCAGCACTTGTGCAGCACCGTGTTGTGCCTCAGCACTTGTTGCAGCACCGTGTGTTGTGCCTCAGTACTTGTGCAGCACCGCGTGTTGTGCCTCAGTACTTGTGCAGCACTGTGTGTTGTGCCTCAGTACTTGGTAGCACCGTGTTGTGCCCACAGTACTTGGTGCAGCACCGTGTGTTGTGCTCAGTACTTGGTGCAGCACCGTGTGTTGTGCCTCAGTACTTGGTGCAGCGCCGTGTTGTGGCGTCACAGCACTTGGTGCAGCACTGTGTCTGTCAGCACTTGCGCAGCACCGTGTGTTGTGCCTCAGTACTTGGTGCAGCACCGTGTGTTGTGCCTCAGTACTTGGTGCAGCACTGTGTGTTGTGCCCAGTACTTGTTGCAGCACTGTGTGTTGTGCCTCAGTACTTGGCAGCACCGTGTTGTGCCTCGCACTTGTGCAGCACCGTGTGTTGTGTTCAGTACTTGGTGCAGCACCGTGTTGTGCCTCAGTACGGTGCAGCACCGTGTTGTGCCTCAGCACTTGGTGCAGCACCGTGTTGTGCCTCGCACTTGGTGCAGCACTGCGGGTGTCACAGTACTTGTGCAGCACCGTGTTGTGCCTCAGCACGGCAGCACTGTGTTGTGTCACAGTACTTGGTGAGCACCGTGTTGTGCCTCAGCACTTGGTGCAGCACCGTGTGTTGTGTTACAGCACTTGGTGCAGCACCGTGTGTTGTGCTCATACTTGGTGCAGCACTGTGTGTTGTGCTCAGCACTTGGTGCAGCACCGTGTTGTGCCTCAGCACTTGGTGCAGCATGGTTGTGTCACAGTACTTGGTGCAGCACTGTGTGTTGTGCCTCAGTACTGGTGCAGCACCGTGTGTTGTGCTCAGCACTTGTGCAGCACTGTAGCGCCTCAGTACTTGCAGCACGCGGTGTTGTGCCTCAGTACTTGGTGCAGCACTGTGTTGCGTCAGTGACTTGCGCAGCACCGTGTTGTGCCTCACTTGGTGCAGCACCGTGTTGTGTTCAGTACTTGGTGCAGCACCGTGTTGTGCTCGCACTTGGTGCAGCACCGTGTGTTGTGTCACAGTACTTGCGCAGCACTGTGTGTTGTGCCTCAGTACTTGGTGCAGCACCGTGTTGTGCTCAGTACTTGTGCAGCACCGTGTTGTGCCTCAGTACTTGTGCAGCACTGTGTGTTGTGTCAGCACGGTGCAGCACCGTGTGCCTCAGTACTTGGTGCAGCACCGTGTGTCAGGCCCCGCACTTGCAGCACCGTGTGTTGTGTCACAGCACTGGTGCAGACCAGTTGTGCCTCAGCACTTGGTGCAGCACCGTGTGTTGTGCCTCAGCACTTGGTGCAGCACTGTGTGTTGTGTCACAGCACTTGGTGCAGCACTGTGTGTTGTGTCTCAGTACTTGGTGCAGCACCGTGTGTTGTGCCTCAGTACTTGGTAGCGCCGGTGTTGTGGCACATACTGTCCGGTGTCTTAATAAACATAAACAATTATACCCTGAAAACCATTGTCCCAGTAACCAGATTGGCATAACCAACTATTATATATAGGGGAAATATCCCACAAGTTTGCCGAGATCCGACGACTCGAAGACGACCAGCAGAGTCGTTTTGAATTTGTATGTTGCAGGGTGCGAATTCTTGCTGCTAGAGGGCTTCACCTGTGACTCATTTCTTGAGTACATAACTGTGCAGTAGAGTATAGTACATAGCTATAGGCAGTAAACAAATATATGATGTATATATTTACTTGTTTCAGGCAACAATGTATGGAAATGCACATCGCCTGTTCCTTCAGATACTGACCGCTCGTCGGGTGCTTCTTGGACCAGAAGCTAAAAGCACCTATGAAAAATGTTGTGCACAATTTAATGGTAAGATTCTAGTTATTAATGACTAATACAGTACAGCACTTACCAACAACTTCAGTCTGCACATGTAACTGAGTTATACCATACAGTAGTGTAGGCCATACCCCTGGCCTACACTAGGTGACCTTTACCACCTGGTGTAGGCCATACCCCTGGCCTACACTAGGTGACCTTTACCACCTAGTGTAGGCCATGCCCCTGGCTACACTAGATGATTTTCACCTAGTGTAGGCCATACCCTGGCCTACACTAGGTGACTTTACCACCTAGTGAAGGCCATGCCCTGGCCTACACTGGTGATCCTCACCTCAGTGTAGCCATGCCCCTGGCCTACACTAGGTGACTTTTTACCACCTAGTGTAGGCCATGCCCCTGGCCTACACTAGGTGACTTTTACCACCTAGTGAAGGCCATGCCCCTGGCCTACACTAGGTAACCTTCACCCAGTGTAGGCCATGCCCTGGCCTACACTAGGTGACCTTACCACCTAGTGTAGGCCATAGCCCTGGCCTACACTAGGTGACCTTTACCACCTGGTGTAGGCCATGCCTCTGGCCACACTAGGTGACCTTTACCACCTAGTGAAGGCCATGCCCCTGGCCTACACTAGGTGACCTTTACCACCTAGTGAAGGCCATGCTCTGGCCTACACTAGGTGACCTTTACCACCTAGTGTAGGCCATGCCCCTGGCCTATTGGCATTGTGTTGTTTACATTTTGCTCTCACACACTGTTTCTATGGTTGTCAGTTGCCGCTGATAATTTACAAGAGTTTGTGTTGGACATCAACCAGCAGCTGGAGGTGATGCACCTGGCAGTACGCAAGTCCATACAGGAGGACTCACTAACAGACACCCAATGCTTTGTTCTGGTCAACTTGGTCAACTCAGATGCTACCAAGTGAGTCAATATGTGTGTTATGTTTTAAGGTTACATCATTTAATAACTCAGTGATCCACGGTTATTTGGGTTGTAACAGTAATATTATGGTTGTCGCCTTCCACAGGCTAGACGTGTTACAACCATCTGACAGCCAAATAAGTAGAGTACAGTATCGCCGTGGACACACACACACGCAGTTCTGCCCTAACCGTTGATTCCGCCTGGTATTAGAGGCTGGAACATGTATATTATACAGTATTACCCCGCCTAACGCGTTTCACTTAACGCTGTTTTATCATATACGCTGTGCCCGGCCAGAGCTGAACTTTCACTTAACACGGATTTTTTCATCATATACGTGAGTGTCCGCTCGAGACGCTATTTTTAGATTTGCCCCACCCGCCACCCTGCCTGACTGCCTGTTTTAGCTCATAAATTTATACAAATTACTCGCCAGAATATATTTACATTGCTGGAATTTTATATTTAGGATTATTTTGAATATAAACATCATATATTTTGCATTAGACATACAAATTTTAGATAAAAATTTTTCTGGGTAACTATGTTATCTTTTGTGCAAAATATATGACATTTATATTCAAAATATTCCTGGTCTTACAAGGAATCCAGCAATGTCAATTATATTATCCTAACTTAGTTTGAGGTATTATTTATTACAAAAGTTAAGTATTCTGGTTTTCCCACACATCTCCTTGGGACGGTTGGTGGAGGGTGGAGGAGGGAGGACCACCGACCATCTGTTACCCGTGAAGAATATGTTTTTTTTTTATTAACTGAAGATATTTGTTTTAGCTCATAAAATTCATACAAATTACCTGCCAGAATATAATTTACATTGCTGGAATTCTTATAATTTGATGATTATTTTTGATAAACATCATATATTTTGCATTAGACATATAATTTTAGATAAAATGTTTAATCTGAGTAAGAATGTTATCTTTTGTGCAAAATATATGACGTTTATATTCAAAATATTCCTGGTCTTACAAGAATCCAGCAATGTCAATTATATTATCCTAACTTTAATCTGAGGTATTATTTAATACAAAAATGTTAAAATCTAAATTTTTCACCCACTCTTCTCTTGAAGGATGATTGGTGGGGAAGGTTGGGACTGACCACCTGGTTGGAAGAGGGGAAGGCAAGGTGGGTACTTTGATTGACAGATAGTGTCCTGAAGATTATTTTTTTTTATTAACTGAAGATATTTGTTTTAGCTCATAAAATTCATACAAATTACCTGCCAGAATATAATTTACATTGCTGGAATTTTATAATTTGGTGATCATTTTGAATATAAACATCATATTTTGCATTAGACATACAAATTTGATAAAAATTTTCTGAGTAACTATGTTATCTTTTGCAAAATATATGACATTTCTATTCAAAATATTCCTGGTCTTACAAGAATCCAGCAATGTCAATTGTATTATCCTAACTTTAGTTTGAGGTATTATTTATTAAAATTTAGTGGTTTTCCCAAAAACTCAGAGAGGGAAGAGCTGGCAGTGTAGTGTGAGAGGGGAGGGAGTTGAGTCCATTATTTGAATGGACATTAACTTGAGCATCGTATTTCTATTTCTCTTAAGTATTAATTGTGTGCATGTACCATCATAAAATTAAGATGTTATTTTACTACAACATAGTTATGTGTCTTCAAAAAGTGGAGTTTGGGGGTCGGGCCGGTTTCTATTGGAATTAATCCCATATGTTCTGTTGTTCACTTAATGGATTTCACTTAACACGGGACCCTCTGGGTTCTATTGACCGCGTTAAGTGGGGTACAACTGTATAGGGTTTTTGTAGCGAAACCCAATTGTTTGTTATCCATTTATTGAGGAATTATTTCAGATACAGTTCTAAGTGTATATCAACAACTTAATCACTGCAGCTATGAGTGTTAAGATGAGGACAGAGGCTATGTTAAATAGCTCTGCTAAATATGTCAGATTGGTGTGAGGTGTTGAGTAACAATGCTCCAGGCAACCGGCATTTAAATGCTGACCTTAACAGTCTCAGAGCTGCGCCTCTGAACCTACCCATCACGTGATGTGACCATGTCACCTTAGTTGCCAGGGCGGATCTCTTGCAGAGGTTCTGACATTTCATGGAAGGCGACTCACCTTCAAGAAGCAGTAAAATGCTTCTCCACCACCTCCACTTCTCTCTTCTCCTTCTCCTCCCCACTTCAATTCATCATCATCATCATCATCATCATCCAGGGGTCTTCTACATACCCTCAAATGAGTGAACTTTCCTTTTGATTTAGGCAATTTTCGGTGAGCTGGAACAATTACAAAAACCCATTGAAAATGGTTTCGGTTAACGAGATTTTGGGTTAACGAGCACCTGCTGGAGCGACGTGCTCATTAACCGGGGACCACTGTACAGTACATCTAAAATCCTTAATTTAATAGAAAAGAAATAGAATAACAAAATACAGTAAAGTAAAAAAATGTCATCAGTAAATAAAATACTGTTAATTTCAAGTTTAACCCACTCATATAGTGGGTGTTCTTAAGTCAGGGACCTCCAGTAATCACAACTAAAATTGGACTTTATCCTAAAGTTTCTCGAAGAAGATTTTTTCAAAGGAATGAACACACTATTAGAATTACTGCTATTTATACAAATATGAGGTCGTGGCAGTGGGTGGAGCAATATTTGATGTGGTACTTTTCTAACAATGTTATTTTTGTAACCTCTGTGTGATAAGCGATGGTTCAATTTGTTTTTTTTAGTGATTAATTAATAAAATTGAATATGCAGATGCATAATAAAAATATTATTTAGTAAGTGCTGATAAAGACTACAGTCGGCACTTAACATCTGTCGGGGGTTAGGTAACAGAGATACCCGTGAATGTTAAAAAATCTGTGATACTTTGCTGCCCCCAAAACCCTGGCCCCATGTCCTTATTTACGTATATACCTGTGTGTAGTTAAGGCTTTAGACCAAATTATTTGGCAAAATTGAGGTCGACCTCTCAAAGAGTAATAGTTTAGATTAGGTTGAAAAATATTTACCAGTAACTACCAGTAAATAATGGGAACAGCAGCAAAGCACCACCAGCTGTGAGTGTCGGTACAGTCGCCAGGAGCAGTCTCCTGCGTCATCATAGCTAGCCCAAAGCAAATCCATGGTATGGTATACACAGGACGATGTAAAACAAGTATTCATTTGTTAAAGTTTATTTATAGATACTGTACATAAATTTTTGTTCATTACATTTGAAACATCAATCTTTGTTAATTAAATTTGATACAAAAGAAAACTACGATACCGTATTTTCATTAAAATATTGCATCACAAGTATATTTTACCTTAACTGTGACTGAATGAATATATTCTCAGAAATAAATATGGAAATGTAATATTTTGGCTGAAATGACACATATTACTGTACAGTGGAAAGTGGGATAAAATTATGAAAACAATGACTTTCGCTTTCTTTCGTTGTTCAAAAGATTTTACCGTAATCGCTTTTCGAATGGTTTTCAGTTAAAAAACTGTTGTACTGTACTCATACTGTATTACAATAATATTCTATCCTATCATTAGCCTTATAATCCCACAACTGAAAACCATTCGAAAAGCAATTACGGTAACATCTTTTGAACGAAAGAAAGCGAGTCATTGCTTTTGTCACTTTCCACTGTAATACGTACATCATTTCAGCAAAAATATTACATTTCCATATTCTCAGAAATAAATGGTAGTTTTGTTGAAACGTAATGTACAGTATTTAATATTAAAATGCAAAAATAGCTATAAAAACAATTAATACACCCGTAATGTAATAATAATAATAATAATAATTAACGATTTATTAAGAAAACATGGCAGCCCGAAAGCTGAAAATATGCAATGAACAGAAGTGATAAGTTACATATGGTGAAATCGGGGAGTGGGTCACTTGATTGACAAAAGCTTTCAATACAAAACATAAGAAACATAGAGTCAACATATAGATTAACTGGTCTTGTAAACATTCTTGCGACCTCATTGGATGGCCATTGCGTGGTACGGGTAGGTCCTTCAGCTCACACAGGGTGTTGGAGATGGTTTTTCTTCCTCGTTTGATGTAGTTAGGAATTTAGAGTTATTTGCCTGGGTGGAGGAGGGAGTCCTCACTTCTCTCCTGGAGTAGTATGGAGACTTTCCTGGCTTCTCATCAAGTGGTGGTGAGTGTACTGAGGACAGATCCGCGTCAGGTCAATATTGACCGCTAGGCACGATTGTCCCTCCAACATTTGTTTTGGGTTGAAATTGTCACTTTTGTATATCAGTTGTGGGTTGATCGTCAAACTTTGCACTGTACTGTTGGTGGGAGGATGTTGATAAATCCAGATGGGGAGGAGGAGATGGGGAAGACCCGACAGACCGGGCTGGCAGCTGTCTCCATGGTCATGAGACCACGGCTGCGTTAGCGGGCAGCGCCGACTACACACGTCCTTACCCTATGAAGGCTGTGTGTACTGGCTGGCATCTCGTCCCTGCTCCCGCGTCCAAGGTCACCACTCCTCCCAACTCGCTCCCTCCTCCGCCTCCTCCACCTCCACCGTCACTACTGCCGACAACAAACACAAATGTTTTGTGAATAACTACACCTCCACTTCCTATGTACAGTACTGAGCTGTACTGTGCTGTACATTTTTACAAACAATAAACATGGCAAGAAAAGCTATTAAAAAAAAAGAGATAAAAAGTTCACTTTACTGTACAGTCACTCAATTCCATAACGGGTGGTGAAGTGGGGGCGACGGTGGATTCAGCTGCTTCCTCACTGCCGCCAGTGATTGGTGTTAAATCTCTCCTTCGGTGATCAAAGAACATGGTGATGGGGAGTTGTCGTCTCTTTCATTCATTTCTTCCATGATGTTTTTGTATGGAGCGAAAACGTCATCCATCCCTCGCATGAATTTCAGGGCACGCACCATGGAGGGGTCCATACTATGGGCCAGGTTTTTCAGTGCCTCAATATTCCT